GAATGATCATGGTGTAATAGGAAAACATAAGGAGCCGGTTGTTTGTTGCTCTGCTGGCAAAGGTTGGGAAGTATACAGAGAAGATGATATCCCACTCACCTCCTCCTTTTTACGTCTCTATTGTGCCTTCTCCCACCCCTGCACCTGTTCTGTTTGGCAATCTCCTCCTCGTACTTCAAAATCTAGCACAAGTTTCTCCTTCTCTGGTAACTTTTCCTGTCCTCTGCCAGCAGGGTAATTAGTAAGCCCTTCTGTGTTCCCTTAGTGCTGCTTTCTTACTTGTCATATAATTAAGATAGTACTATAATTGCCATTAATGACATTTGTATAAGATAGTGATGATTGCTTTACCAACTGCTTGCTTTGCACCAAGCATTGTGCTAAGCACTTCACAAAGAATCGGAGTATCTGACCCCAAAGCCTATGTTTTAATCACTAGGCTACACTTCCTATGTTCTTCATGAAAGGGAGAGACTGTGGTATATTCACTTTCATCTCCCAAATGCCCGACATTACCTACAATACAAGAAATGCTTGTAAAGTGAGTGAACATATAGTGTGGTACACAGGATCTAAAGATTCCATATCTTGGTTATTTAAATACTAAGCTAGGTACCACTGTGAACGGATTGTTACAGATGTAAAGCCCCACGTCATTTGACTTTAAGATTAACAGAGATTGTATTACCCAGGTGCACCTGACCCAATGAGGTGAGTTCTTTAAAAGCAGAGTTTTCTCCAGCTACTAGAAGTCATGGAGATTGAAAGAGCCAGAGGGATTTTCCACACTTGCTGACTTGAAGATGTGGGGGACACATAATAAGGAATGCAGGCAGCCCCTAGAAGCTGAGAGCAGCTGCTGGCTGACAGCCAGCAAGAAAAATGTGCCCTCAGTCCCACAAGCACAAGGTGATGAATTCTGCAAACAACCAGTGAGCCTGGAAAAGAACTCCAAGCCATTACCTTGATTTCAGCTGGTTGGGACCCTGAGTAGAGAATGTAGATGTCCTAACCCAGACCTCTGATCTGCAAAACTATGAGATAATAAGTAAGTATTGTTAGAAGCCACTAAGTTTGTGGTGATTTGTTATGCAGTGATAGAAGGCAAATACACACAGGTCCCCAAGTCTGTGGTGAGACTGCTTTCCGGATCCCAGAGAATACACTGACAAGAAGTGCGTGTTGGCTGGGATCCAACAACAGAGAGGTGTCATGAGTTAAGGAAGTCCACACCCGTCTATAAATGAATCAGAATCTGGCGAGGAAGGAAACGTTCTGCAGTGGATAGAGTACTGGGCAGGAAACAGGAAGTCCAGGCTCCTACTCCCAGCTCCGCCACTGCCTCACCACATGACTCCAGGAAAGTCACTTGACATCTATTTATTGTTGTTCTTTCATCTTCAAGATGCAGGTATTCAACCCTTTCCCACCCACAGGGCTGTACATGAAATTCAAGTAATGGGTCCAACAGCCATCTAAGTTGTGGCTAACTCTGGAGAAACATAAGGGATTCTTCAGTTACGTAGGGAGCCTGAGGAACAGCTATGCCAAGTTGCGAGACTAATATAATTCAGGTGAATAGGCAGTCCTCCAAGGCATTCAGATCACAGCTTTCTCTTTCCTACTAAGAAAAGTACTGCTTCGCCCTGTGGCTCCCTAGGAGAATAATCATTATAAAAAATAACATCTTATATTTCAATAGCACTTTTCAGAGTGCTTTACCCTCTACCATTTCAATTCCAATAGTTTATATCAGTTAAAGGAAACGAATGGACCAAGAGTCCTTCTAGTTCTGCAAGCTTTGATTTCTCACCAGGAAGTAGGGTTAGCCTTACCCATTATACAGAGAAAGAAGACTGAGACCTAGTTGGGCAGACAATGGGCCAAGGTTATGGGGCTGGTTAGTGAAACAGCAAATGCTCTCATTCCCAGTTATTGGCTTTTACTAACTCCAGCTCCCTGCCTCTGGAAGGGAGCTGGGAGAATACAGAGTTCTTGGATAGAGGCCCAGCTTTGCCTCTACCAGGTCTGACCTGAGGGTGGGGGGCTGCCTCACGCTCAAGTCCCCATCTTGTGGATAAGATGCAAATGCAGCACTGAAGTCATGTCCCATTTGGAAAGGTTTCTTTCCCTCAGCCCTCTGGTTATTCCATGGATGACACTTGCGGACTGTTAAGCAAAAAGAGCCTTTCTTTGGTCTCTTCATTAAGAAAACAGGGATGTGGGGAATAACATGTGGTAAGTGTTCTCACCACCCAACAGCTGAATATTAATTAAAGGAGAATGGGTGAATATTAATTAAAGGGAAATAGGGAATAAAGAACCATAGGCCTGGCAATTTCTTGGGAGGCCTGTGAGCTTCACTACATGGTCCCCACTTGGGATACCCTCGGCTCGGGAATGTTAGAAGAGGAGGCAGCCATCCTGAACACTTGGTTTGAGGCCATGACTCCCGACATCCTGCACCATGATCAGGTTTGGATTCTCCTGGCCCAGAAAACTATTCCTGGTGTCTAGAATCCAACGTGAATAGCACTGACAGGTTTTAAGAGAAGCAGCAGCATTCACACATTCCCTCATTATTGAGGCCTACTGGGCGCTCCATGCTGGAGACACAAGCTGCACAAAAGAACTAAAAGGTTCTGTTACTCTCATGGAGCTTATGGTCTGGGGGATAGCAGACAGTCAAACAATCACACAAACAGATGTCAGATTTCAGCTGCGATGTGAGCTGCATGGGGCTCTGAGAGTCTTAACATTGGAGTGCTGAAAAGGTAATGACTAAGGTGAGGTCTGACTGATGAATAGTGCTGAGCATTGATTGGGGGTGGAGAGCAGCATGTGGTGAGGGAGAGAGCCTTTTGCATGTGAAGGACAGAACAAAGTCCTGAGTGACCTGATACAGAAAGCACATTATGGGATGGCAGTGGAGAGCAAGCCAGGGGCCAGACCACACAGGGCCTTAAGAGTCACCAAGGAGTTTGAATTTTATTCCACAGGTAAGTAGAGGGCTTGGATGGGGTTTAAGCAAAGACACAATGGATACAATTAATGCTTTTGAAGGGACCACTCAGGAAGCCTTATGATGAACTGATTAGGCAGAGGAATGGGAGGAGAGGGGGCAGAATGGAGGCAAGAAGTCCAGTTCAGACACCTTACGTCATCCCAAATCAGGAAAGAAGCAGCAGCTTCACCCAGGCCTGTCCTGCTACACTAAGATGGAAAAAGCACTAGAATGGACAGCCTGAGACTGGCATGACTTTGTAGTAATTTTGCCTCAATGTACCTCATTGTGCTTGACTGCCCAACTTGGAAACCAAGTTGGTCTCTGGCTCCACCTGATGATTGACGCTCTCTCTGCCTTGGTTAATTTGTGTCCCCAGCACTCAGTACCCTGGAGGACCAAGAGTAGGAACCAAGTACTCTTGGTTCAAGGTGTTCAGAAGGTCCACCACTTGAATATCTTGAGAAATGGAAGAACTCACTCACCCTCAGATTAGCCATCATTGCCCTACCTGCCTGTCAAAAATATCTTCCTCATATTTCATGTTTGTTTTCTGGAACTTCTGCCAAATGCGCTTAAATCAGGTCACATGGTCCAACCTTCACCTCAATACTCCAATGAACCCAGCTCTTCAAGTCTTTGCTTATTGTCAAATGTCCCGTCTTCCTGGGCTGATCTTCACATGGTGCAGCTTTGCTTCACCCTCCTGGTCTCATCCCTCGGAATAAGTCTCCTCTTAATTCCACCTTCGTGTGAAGCATCTAGGAACATTCTCTTAAATAAAGCAAGAAAAAGCAAAGATTTGTTTGCTTTTTGGGAGTGAGCACTGTCTGCCTAGACTGAAAAGGAAGTCCCTAAGAAACTGAGACAAAGTGGAGCCCACGGAACAGGGAATAACACAGAAAGGGTGGGCCAGGGTTTTGAAAACTGTGGAACAAGCAAGCCTGCGTATTTGTCCTGGGTCAGTGTGAGTTGGGGCTCTTGAGGTTCTTTATCTGTAAAACTCATGGACCGGATTGGTGATTTCTCTGGTTAAGTATTAGGTTCTAGTTAAGCACTGTCACCTATTGAAGGCTCTGAGCTTGAGGCTCAAAGTACATGTTAGAAACGGCTTAAAGATACCATTGTTTCAGGGTTATACTTCCTTAATAAACTGAGTGGGATAGAAAAAAGTGGAATGCAAATAACTTTATCACTTTGTGATTCAATATAACATGATGTCCTATCTGTCCACCACATAAAAATCACCCCATATAATATCTAGATCACTCTGTAATATTGTTTGAAAGCTCTGGACTTGGAAATCTTCTAGATTTCCAATCTTCTTGATTGGTCATGTTTCTCTTTTATTGTTTTTGGACCTAAGAGAGGAGAACAAGATTCTAAGAACATTAAGGACCAATTTCTCACCTCATGTGCAGTTGTCACATTTGCCATTTGATCCAGAACAAAATACCCTTTGTCTTTTCTTTCATTCAAATTCTCTTTCTCTGTGATGGGAGGGAGATATGTGCCTCCTTTGCCAGCCAGAGGGCAATAATGAGAAGACAGTCGAAAACATTTCTGGACATAATCAAATATGTGCATTGAGTCTATAAACACATTAGTACATGTGTGCACAAACATTTGGTGTACATGTAACTATATTTAACAAAATGTTTATGTGTTTGTGATTTTGGGAGCAAGTGTCAACATGTCTGTTGTCATTGCTGGCATGTGTCTTGTTATATATGTATGCGTGAAAGTGAATGTGAATATGTACCTGAGGGGCTTTGTCACCCTGAAGGACAGCAACCCCATAGGCCCTTATCTGTGATAAGGCCCCCAGTACAGAGAGTTTCTCTCTGACATCTGCATTCTCACATCCTGCTAACAGAGGAGAAGGTGAATGGGGCCTGAGAGCTCTGCTGACAGGGTCCTGGCTGGCTCTCAGCCCCTACCTATAGCCTTTGTAATTGATGTCTGTGCTTCTGACACCTCTTCCCTTTGGCCCCAGGTCCCTGTCTGGCCGAATCGTTGGTGGTGTCTGGTGGTTCTTCACATTGATCATCATCTCCTCATACACAGCCAACCTGGCTGCCTTCTTGACAGTGGAAAGGATGGTGTCACCCATCGAGAGTGCGGAGGACCTAGCAAAGCAGACGGAAATTGCCTACGGGACGCTGGAAGCAGGATCCACTAAGGAGTTCTTCAGGGTAGGGACACCCCTTGTCCCAAGGCACTTTCACAAAAGGGAACCACTACTGTCATTAAAATATCCTTCTCATTAACGAGCAGATTACAGGCAGCCAGGGCAACTGCTTAACTGAATGTGGGTCAGGGAACCTCAGAACATTTCTCAGCTTTCTACAGATCTCTGAGAAATCTACATCTGTTTGTGGAAACTTCAAAGCTTTCATTCTGAGTCAGACCCTTTGCATATGCCAGTCTGGGTCACATTCTCTGAGGGCTGCAGAGGATAGTACATAGGAGCCCCTCCCTGCTCCTACAAGGACCTTACTGGCTTTTTAGTAATTGATTAGGAGTAGCTTCAGGACAAGGTCGCAACCTGATGCCCTTTGTGTCGGATCTTTGAAGACTTGGGAAGTAGACAATGGTATATGTGAAACAATTACTAGATTAGGTGGTCTATTACAAACTGTCAGAAAAGAGAGAAGCTGTGATGTGGAAGTGGAGGCAGTAGAGAGGGCATGAGGCTGGAGGCAGCAAGCAAAGGCAGAGGGCAGAGAGCTGAGGCACACAAGATGTAAGGTCAGCCAGACCTAGGTCCAGCACCTGGCTCCATTCTTTATCATTCTGTGGCTCTTAGCCTCTTTAACGCCATTTCCCCATCTATAAAATGAGAATAATGTTTATCTCAAAGCATCATCATGAGATTAAAAGAAATGAGGAATCCAAAACACCACGGAAACAAAGATCAGTGGATGGAGGTTCCATTTACTGTTAGGACTTCAGGGAAGTACAAGCATTTGGGATCTATCTTGAAGGTACATCCCTTGTGCAAAGGCACATTCACAAAAGGGAACCACTGCTGCATTAAAATATCCTTCTCATTAAAGAACATGAGATCATAAGAGCAAGGGAAAATGGGTAGACCCTGTAAACCACAAATAACACACCTGTAATATTTCTAGACATCATAAAGCCATGTCTGACCTAGGTAGGCTAATTACTTTCTAGGCAAAAGGAACAACTTTTAAAAAATGCCCCAAAGCAGGAAATTCTGCAGTTCTCTAGACTTTGGACTTGCTCATCCTGGGATCTGAACAAACAGCACATGGAGCTATGATATATTGATCAAACAAACAAGCAATTGCTACCACTTACTTAGCACTTACTATAAATCCAGTCCTCTGCTAAACACACCCTGTGTGGATTACCTCACTTAATCCTCTCATTAGAGCTCAGTTAGGGACTTGTCCCCATTTTAGATGACTGACTGCCCATGACTACCCAGCTTATAAGTGGGAAAAATATTTTTAAAATCAATGATTAGAAAAAAAAGAATAGACAGCAAGCTTCTGCACTGCCTCGGGTAAGAGGGTAGGGATCCTTTGCAGACCCACAAGGTTCTCACTACAACTTCACGGAGCAAACCCCAGGCCCTAAGTGAACCAACAGGATGATGTGCTCAGTTTCTTGATCAGGTGCTGTGTCTTGGATGCCAGGTAGGAAAGGGACCGAAGTCTCAACCATGGCTGATCCAGGCTAACATCATCCATTTTTAACATATTGGAGTCAGAAGGTAACTGTGAAGTCACTTGGTTAAAGTCTGTCATTTTAGAGAGACATGTCTTGCATAGGCTGGCCCAACCAGTTAGTAGAAAAACCACTTGTAACTCATGACCATTCTCTGACCTTTTTAGTCTGCAACCAAAGTGTGAAGGAGATGCCTGATATTTGTCCATATAGCCAGCCCTATGTCCCAGACCCTGCTGATGAAGCTGGGGAACCACCCAATTTACTATCCATTATATACTCATGCTTACAGCCCTAATATATTAGCATGTCACAGTCCCCAAAGTATTTCACATCCATGGTCTCAATTATGTTTCACCTGTGACCTAAGGCAGAATAGGAACTGTGGTGTCCACTTTGTGAATAAGAAATTGGGATTCAGGCAAGTCATGATGCAAATGTCAAGAATGAGTACAAAATCTGACTTTCTTCATTTATTCTTGCCACTGAACCACACTGTCCTAGTAGGGGTATAATTAACTGATAAATGTTTCTGTAAAGATCACTCAGGTTACTAGTGGACACATGGAAAAGCCTAGTATATTATCTTCCATTTCATAGTTGGGAAATTCAAAGCCCAGAAAAGAAAGTGAAAATGCTCTAGCTAATTAGGGGCACATCTGGGACTTGAGACTTCCCAGTTCTTTGTTAATAACTATGTCTATTGACACAGTACTCTCTCTCGTCCACAGTAAAAGTTAGGAATCTAGAAGCAAGGCATTTTATATTCTACAAGTTCTGTCCTCCAACCAAGCCTACTGCATGGGTGGCAAATAGGTTGTAGTTCATGTGCTGATTGATTGGTAGAGGGTGCCTAGAGTTCCATGTTGAGAGAAATTCTGAGGTTCCATCTGGGCTCAGTGTAAAGTAATTCCTTGATATCAATGTCTGCCATGTAGGAAGGGAACCTGGGACCAAGCCAGCCATGTTTGGGGCATCCCTACTATAAAGTAAAATCTGAAGAAAGGGCATAAGTGTGAGCAGTGACCACACCACTTATACAGCACCTGCACTGTGCCACGCACGGGGTTATGCATTCTACCTCTGTTCTCATGTAATCCCCACAACACTGTTCAGTGTGTGCAATAATCCCCACTGTCAGGAGAGAACCATGGCTCAGAAAGATTCCACAGTGAGGAAAATAAAAAGCCTAAAATGATGGAAGAAGCTGGTTGCAGGAGAAACCAGGTGAGCAAGGAAGTGACAAGGGTTTTACTCCTGGCTCTGCCACTAACGAACCACGTAACACTGGACATTTCATTGCCATACTGTGGGCCTCAGTTTCCCTACCTGTAAAAAAGGAGTGCTGACAAAATGTGTTCCATGAGCCCTTCCATCTCTGTGACTCTGACCTTGAGAATTATCCCACTAGAACTTTGGTGGGTAGGGAAACAAGATCACCTACCACCCCAGGAAACAGAAGGGGAGAATAGTGAGACGAGAATTCTTCTACCACAGAACGAAAAATCTGGCTTCTAGTCACCATGGCAGGCCCGAGCTTCTCGGCAGCCCCAACCCAAAGTCACTTGATCCTCCAACGACAGTTGAATTAAGATGTGTGAAGGGCCATGGGAGCTGCAGATGATAGGAGAGATCCAAGAACAAATACCCCAAGTACATTTCCGATCTTCCTTGCCACTCATGCTGCCTTTGCTTTCCTGGAGATGAGATTTTCCTGATAGTCCACTCCAAACAGCTGTGAGCACAGCCTTGGTGTTTGGGGCACTGGGGTACAGCTGAGAGAACATCTCATTTTCTGCCCACTGTTGCCCAGAGGGCTCTTCAGTTCTGCATGTCAGCACTCTGTTCCCTGCCATTGCCATCCTGTCAGGTCAGACTGCGTCTTGCAATTGCCCTCCTGTACGTTTTGTTGGTTTTGTGCCTGGAAGATCATCTGAAAATCTGGTCATGGATGAATTTATACACTTCCCTGTTTCCTCTGAAAGAATATTCCATACCTTGTATATGCTATGATTAATTCTAGGTGTTTCTTCCCCTAACTTTGAAATACTCCCTTGCCTTTCTTTGTTCTTCTTTTTCACATTGACATTGTTGCTTGAACAATGTATCTTCATACAAGGAATTAGAAATATCTATCTTGTAAAGGACTTACAGATTACCTGCCCATAGTCTATGGAAGGGTGGGGAAAGTTAGCAGTAAAACTAAGACTAGAACTCAGGGCTCCAAGTCCAGTGTCCTTTCCAGACTATAAACCATACTGTAAAATAAGTCATCTAGTTTATCTACTCATAGACTATCAAAACTCAGGGCTCACTCTACCCAATGCCTCCCTGAAATTCTCAGTAACTATTTCCATTAATTTTCTATGGAGCCCTAGAATTTTCCTGGGTCCAAATACCTCTACAGATCAGTTCAGTCAAATACCAACTTAATTATATACCATTATTAGGCCAACACTTGATGTTCACATTAAGGAAATAGACCTAATACTTGTGTGCAAAGAACAATGACCTATTACATATATAATGATAATTTTATACTAAATAAATCTGTAATCTGTATATTAAACAAATAATATAAGTTGTATAATTCTAGTCGTAACTTTCTTTTTTAAAAAAAAGTCCCTTATGTAAGTTTAACATTTGTTCATTTACAAAGCATTTTCAAAAACTACACTCCAGTATCCCTAAAATACATTTCCCATTTGGGAAAATGATGCCCTTTAGAAAGACCATGTTAGATGAGAATGTTGACTTGTGGTCCTGGATTGTGGGCCCTGACTAAGGGCTTACTATGTACAAGGTTAGTCTCTGGGAAAAACTTACAGAAAGGAAGCTGTTCCCTGCTCTCCTATTGTGTCCGCAGACTTGAAACCTCTGCAGAAGTAGGAATGACCCACTATCCTAGCAATCAAGCTTGTTCATCCAGTGGGTTCCCAGACATTGTGTCCTTACCTTCTCAAAGTAAGGGTCACATCAGCCATACAGACCAACATCACCTGGGGAAACAGCTGAAAGAGATTTATTCTAGGCTTCCCCTCAGATGTGTTGAGTCAGTACCTTCAGTTGTACAGCAGGGAGATCTGCATATGTACAATCTCTATACACAATTTCAGTGCCAACTGGAGTTTGAGAACCACCGTCCTTGGAACTGAGGCGGCCTCAGAATACACAGGGTTTGTTCTGGTCTGTGAAATGGTAAGGAGCACGCAGCTGGAGAGAAAGAGCATGATGAGTGGGCTGACACAGCCTAGGCCAAGTCCCAAAGGGAGTTCAGGAGGAAATGACAAAAGCAATTTGGCTGGATTTAGAGGCTTTTAAAATATAAACAGGTGACAATATTGGGTCTCAAGTTATTAGCTTTATCAGACAACAACTTACATCCTGAGAGCAAATCAAACCTTTCATTATGGGATGACTGGAACTTGGCACCCATTACCCTGAAATTCATCAGTGTTGTCCTCCAATAAGGAAGTCAGATTCCACTGATATGGAGCTCTCCTCTTCTTCTAAGCTGTATAAGAATGGCCTTACTGAACAGCAGATAGGTTTTTAATGTCTTTAAAAGCCAGGCAGAGCCCCAGTTTCTTAACTCTCCCCTTATTTAACAGGAATATAATTACTCAGCAGTAATTAAAAGATTCTGAGCTATTCTGTTTGTTCTGTTATTTGCAAGATATTTGTAGTTTGGAACCTACTGGTACTAATTAGAGCCTCTTATTTTGCAATCACTCATAATTTGTTTCTTCCTGAGCTAATCTCACTCATGAATGTGTGATCAAGCTATACTCAGCTCTTCATTAGTGTGTATACCGACCTCAATTCCAAGCACAGTCAGCACTCAATTGCAATTCTGTTCCTGTCCCCTGCCAGAGGTCTAAAATTGCTGTGTTTGAAAAGATGTGGACATACATGAAGTCAGCAGAACCATCAGTGTTTGTGCGGACCACAGAGGAGGGGATGATCCGAGTGAGGAAATCCAAAGGCAAATATGCCTATCTTCTGGAGTCTACCATGAATGAGTACATTGAACAGCGGAAACCCTGTGACACCATGAAGGTGGGAGGTAACTTGGATTCCAAAGGCTATGGCATTGCAACACCCAAGGGGTCCGCCCTGAGGTAAGTAGCCAAGATTTGCTTCCTTGGTACCCCCTCTCCCCTCCCTATCTCAGGAATGAAGTCACCATGTCTACCACATGGCTCCAATGCCACAATGCGAGCTGTCAAGAGGGCTCTTCTTGGACATCGGTGGGCCTGGAAGACTCCAGCCACCCAAGATCTTCAGCCCTGAGGTTGGAAATTGACCTGGGGGCCTCAGCTTGCTATGACTGTTGCTGCCTCTATGTTCTTCCCCACACCTCGCCTTACCCCTCCAAGTGTGTTAAACATCAATGAACTTTGTATTTCTGTCAGTTGATCTGTAACACACCATGCCTTTACCAGACACCCCTGAATCCAAGTAAACCACAGAGTCCTCCAGAAACCTGGATTCTTTGACAGAGGTGGTTTGTAATGTTTGTCTCAAGAGAAACATAAATGCACTGTCCAAATGAAAAACCAAGTAGTCTGAGTCATGTGCAGATCAAAATAATGCCAAATGAATGGCAGCATCTATTCTTTCTTAGGTACTGATTTCTTGAGCAAGAAACAGGTAGTTCAGTATAGAGCAAAGTGGACTTTATGTGCACATTAAAAAACTCTGGTGTTCATTCCAAACAGCTAAGATAGAGTCCTATAGACATGAGGTTAGAAGACCTAGATTTATTTCTGTAATTTACTCCTGACCATCTCACAGAAGATAAGATACATCACCTCCCTTACTTTCAGTTTCCTCATCTGTAAAAACAGGATAATTATCCCAGCCTTTTTCAGGTCCAAGGTGATTGTGAATTCAAATGGGATGATTTATACAGAAGGTAACTGAAAACAGTACAGTGCAAAGTCACTTGGGAGAAATTATGTCAATTGCAGAGGGATTAACTCATTTTAGGAAACGTAGTGTCCACGAAAAGGTGAGGAGTGTTTTTAAAAGTTGCAAAAGAATGAAGAGGGATTCCTAATCCATTTGACACAACATCCAGGGCCACCTCTGCCTTCACTTTATGGAGCTCTACAGTGTTTATAGGCAGTCAGCTAGGAGCTAGAGCTACAGTTATGAACAAGACAGACATAGTCCCAGTCCCAGTGGAACTGCAGGCTTGCAAGGAAGACAGACATTAAACAGATGATTATTGTTTAATGGTTCATGACAACTATGATAGGTACTCCAATAGTCTATAAAAGGGGACCTAGAGGATATCTACTTCCAGCAATATGGCAGAACAAAACTTCCACTGTAAAACACCCACATATGCTGGATAAACATGTAACAAACACACTTTTAAATGCAAGTTAGGAAATTCATAAGCCAAAAAGTGAAAAGAAAGTCAAAATCAGAGTGAAAAGCATGCTGATTATTCTGTGGCTTCCTTAAATAGGGCAAAGTTGTAAATTATGTGACAATGTACATAAGGAAGAATCAGAAGTATAATTAAGACATAAAAGTAACTAACTCTCAAAGAACCACTACAAGACAGAAAGAAGCAAAAAAAACACATTAAGCACAGTGGAAATATCACTCTCAGCAATGATGAAATCATCAACACTGCCCGAAAGATGCGGCCCCGATCTTTGGCTAGAAAGCTCTCTGGAAACACTAAAGAGGTCTTGGAACAACCCAGTCTGTGGGCTGCCACCCTTATGACATCATAGATGACATTAACAGTGGTATAGTGGAGTACCCGGCTAGTTAAGAACTGCAAAGGAAAATATTAACAATGAAAAAATAAAATAAAATAAAATCACTTTTAAAAGAAAGACTCTGTCACAAAAGGCCAGACATATTTGGAAAAGTACAGTACTGATTAGAACTTAGTGAGGTAAATTTTTAAAAAGTAGTTATTGATATAAAATCTCAGTGGAAGGGTTAAACAGCAATTATACAAAGTTGAAGAAAATATTAGTACACTGAGGTTAAAATTAGAGAAATTTCCCCAGAATATCACACACAGAAATTTTTTAAAAGACAGAAAATATAACAAAAAAGATTAAGAGACATGAAAGACAAAAAATCCCATGTGTATCATCTATGAGTTCCAAGAAGAGACAAAAGAAGTTGGAGTGGAGGCAATATTTGAAGGTTTTTTTTTTTCACAAGACAACTAAAAGACACAGAGACATGGAAGCTAAATAACAAGTTACTAAACAGTAAATGTGTCAACAATGAGATCAGGGAAGCAATCATAATTACCTTGAAACAAATGAAAATGAAGATACAACAACCGAAATCTATGGGATACAGCAGAAGCAGTCCTAATTAATACAGCACTCCCCCCAAAAACAAAACAAATCTCAAATAATCAAACTAACCTTACCTTTAAAGGAACCATAAAAAGAATAGCAAGAAAACCCAAAGTGAGTAAAAGAAAGGAAATAATAAAGATTAGAGCAAAAGTAAACCAAATAGAGTCCTAAAAAATCAATATAAAAGATAATAAAATCAAGAAATGGTCCCTTGAAAAGACAAACAAGATTGACAAATTTTTAACCAGACTCATCTAGTAAAAAAGGAGAGAGGATCCAAACAAATAAAATCAGAAGTGGAAGAGGAGATATAACTCCAAAGAAATACAAAATATTTTAAGAAAATATTAAAAACAAAAAATAGAATTTATTTTTTTAAATGTGTATTTATTCCTACATGTTTAAACTTCAGTCACATTCAAAGTACTCTCCATTTGATGCACTACACCAATCAAGAGGTATTTTCTACTGCTCAGAACTCATTGATTTTGACGCCTTTTAGTGCTGCTGCCATTTTTTGTTTTACCTCTTCCACATCATCAAAATTTTCCCTTTCAGGACTTTTTTCATCCATGGCAGGTGTGGGGGGATGTTGCTTGGGGCAAGACTAGGTGAATATGGTGGGTGTGGCATGGAGGGCATGCTATTTTTGGAAAAAAAAAAAAACTACTGAAGACTCAGTGCAGTGTGGGCAGGTATAAATCACCCATCATGAAATGGCCAATCTTGTTGAAAGAGTTTTCAAAAAAATTCAGTGAAGCTGAACACAGCCTCTGACAACAATGTCAGCTGGCACACTGATACAGGTGGTTTCCTAGAACACTCTCCTAGCACTGGAAGCCTCTACTACAAGGGGCCGACCCACCAGAAGATAATTCCAGTTTGGAGGGTTCCCCCTTGTATGCCCACAAATTGAAAAATCTGGGCAAAAAGAATAAATTCCTAGAAATATATAATCTTCCAAAACTGAAGCGGGAAAAGTCGGAGAATCTGCATAGACAGTTTATAACCAGTGAAGTTGAAGCAGTAATCAAAAAACTCACCAAAAATAAAAGTTCTGGACCAGAGGGAAGACTCAAAAGCTCATGTTATGAGGCCAGCATTATCCTACTTCTAAATAAGAACACTACAAAGGAACAAAATTATATGCCAATATCCCTGATGAACATAGGTGCTAGAATCCTCAACAAAATATTAGCAAACCAGATTCAACAACATATTAAAAAGATCATACACCATGATCAATGGGATTTATTCTGGGGATTCATTGTTGGTACAGTATCTGCAAATCAACAAATGTGATATACCACATAAACAAAATGAAAGATAAAACCATGTAATCATATCAATACATGCAGAAAAATCATTTGATAAAATCCAGCCACTATCTATGATAAAAACTCTCAGCAAAGTGGGAATATAGAGAACATACCTCAATGTATTAAGGCCATATATCACAAAGCCAGAGCCAACATCATACTCAATGGGCAAAAACTAAAAGTGCTTCCCTTAAGATTGGCAACAAGACAGGGATGTTCACTCTCACCACTCTTACTCAACATAGTAGTGGAAGTTCTAGTCACAGTATTTAGACAAGAAGAAATAAAAGGCATCCAAATTGTAAAGAAAACATAAACATGTCATTATTTGCAGATTACAGATACTGTATATGGAAAACCATAAAGAATCCACCAAAAAAACTACTAGAACTGATAAATGAATCCAGTAAAGCAGCAGGGTACAAAATAAATATTCAGAAATCACTTAGATTTTTATATACCAATAATGAACTATCAGAAGGGGAAACTGAGAAAATTATTCCATTTACAATTGCATCAAACAAATAAAATACCTAAAAGTAAATTTAATAAAGAGTGAAAAAGACCTGTACTCAGAAAATTATAAGACACTGAAGAAAGAAAATGAAGAAGATACAAATAAGTGAAAGTATATACTGTATTCATAGATAGAAAGAATTAAAATCATTAAAATGTCCATACTAACCAAGGCAATCTACAGATTCAGTTAAATTCCTATCAAGTTACTAATGGCATATTTCTCAGATCTAGAACAAATATTCCAAAAACTTATATGGAATCCCACAAGATCCTGAATACCCACAGCAATCTTGAGAAAAAACAAAGTAGAACAAATTGTGCTACTGATATCATACTATACTGCAAGCCCACAATAATCAAAACAGCATGGTAATGGCATAAAAACATACATATGGACCAATAAAACAGAATACAGAGCACAGAAATAAACCCGTGCCTTTATGGTCAATTAATATTTGACAAAGGAGGCAAGAACCTATAATGGGGTAAATAAAAATAGTCTATTCAATAAATGGTATTAAGAAAACTGGGCAGATACACACAAAAATATGATGCTAGACCACTTTCTTACACTTACATGAAAATAAACTCAAAGTGGATTAAAGACTTATATGTTAGACTTGAAACCATAACTATTCCAGATGAAAATATAGGCAATAAAATCTCACACATTTCTTGTAGCAATATTTTTTCTGATATATTATCTCAGGCAAGAAAAACAAAAGAAAAAATAAATAAGTGAGATTATATCAAACTAAATAGTTTTTGCACAGCAAAGGAATCCATCAACAAAAGGAAAAGGCAACCCACTGAGTGGGAGAATATATTCACCAATTGTGCATCTGATGAGTTAACATCCAAAATTTATAAAGAACTTGTAAAACTCAACACCAAAAAAATAATAATAATCCAATTAAATAATGAGCAAAAGACCTTAAT